CATATATTTACTCCTCACAGTTTAACCCTCAGAAACCTATAGAGTAAGTAGACTTATATATTTTCCAGATGGAAAAACTGAGACTAGCTTCAGAGCTAGACAAGGGCGGAGGTAGGCCAAAGTACAAAGCAGAGACCCAGCAGTCTCCATGAAGTAGCTCAGTAATGGAGAGTTCATGATAAAAACAGGAATCAGAAACACGAAAACAAGAAAGCTTGCACAGAGATAGTAAAGTGTTAGTGAAAGAAAACTCTAAGGAAACCAAGATAATACATGGAAAGGAGGGGTGACTTCACAGTGGAATGTGAGAGCTGAATATCACAGGTGTCTTAAAACTCTGAGTCCTGGTTTTCTTTTAGGTAAAAGGGAATAATATCTATATCAGAGACTGGTTTTGAAGACAAGATGAAGCAACGTCTATAAAACATGAGGCACTACCTGTCACGGAGAAGGTCCTGTTTCTCAATCCACGTTCCTTTCTTTTTCCATTTTTTTCCCTTCCTCTGCTTCACAGTTTTGCCCAGTTTAATTCTAACAGAAAGGGATAGGGAATCAAAGGTAGTTTTTAAAAAAGCTCATGAGGAAGGGAAGAAAGTTAACCACAGTCATTCTTTTTAGCTACAGATATGACTCTGGAGACAGGGGGCGGGGGGTGGATAACTTTAATTTACCGTCTATGATTTTAGGGCTGGTCTAATAATTAAATCAACATGAGACAGATCAACAAGAGAAAATAACCAAATTTACATATGCATGTATGGGAACCAATACATGAAAGGTTCTGAGACAGAGGCTGACATGGGTGTATATGACATTTTAAGCCAAGCAAAGAGCTAGGGCACTGGGGCTTCAGAGGGGAGGAGAGCATCTCACAGGACCAGGAGAAGAGAAGTAATTAGAAGTTTGCCCTACCATATAGACAGGTTATAAACAGTTATTTTTGGTGACTCTTATTATTGGCAAGGCTTCCAATTTAAATTCTTTAAGGGAGAGGTAAAAGTTTCTCTTAAGCTTACAGGGTCTTGATTGACTGCAGCTCAAAATACTTCACAGGCCAAAGTGGTACATCTTGTGGAGGTTGGCTCTGAATCCTTTCAACTCAAAATCCAATCTATATTTTATGTCAAAAGTTGATAGTCCCTTTCAGGCTTAAGTACTCAAATCTGATTTTTGGAATGCCCCAATATTGTAAAAAAAGAATGTGTAAAATTCTGCTTTGACATTTTCCACAGTGGTACCTTTAGTTATTTCCCAACAACTGAAGCCTATAACCTACCCTTCTCCTGGCACACGCACCAGAGCGGGGCGGTGAGCGTGGGTGTGGCACGCAACAGGATGGACGCCATACGGATGGATAAATATCCTTAAATCCCTTGTCGTCACACTACAGTTTCACGTTGACTAGCCTCTTTCTCTCTCCTTTCCAATGTCAATACTTTTAGTCCCCTTAGTTCCAGCCCTTTGAAGGTAGGGCCACCTCATTCACATTTATAGCTCCAGTAGGCCAGGGCATTATTTGCATTTAACAAAAGTTCTTGACTAAGTAGGTGGACATGGAGAGCTCAATTCAGTGTATCAGTATTTTCACAGTCAGGCCAGGAGAATTAGGACATAGATGTTGAAATGCAACAGGAAATAGTCATTACTCAATTTCAGTGACTTTCAAATAGGATATTTAGAGTCAAGAGAAGGCCTCAAGGGATGGAAACAGGGACAGAATTAGGAAACTAATCTTTGATTAGAGAACAGAGGAAGAGGTTGACAGCTCCTACCAGCTGGTAGATAAGGGTCACCTGAGCTGGTGAAGTATGGCCCATCAGCTGGATTTCATGGCTCTTACTGTAGAGATTCCAATGTATCATCCTCTCCTTTTATGCTTTCATTTTCAATTGTTTTTGCTTGTATTTCTCTATCTCTATTGTGTCTCAAAGTCAATATTGTTTGAAGAGAGGTCAGTTGCTATCTATGCTGAACATATGTTCATACTTGGATACATCAAAATCTAAGGGCTACCCCATGACTCTTTTAGATTGGACCATTGACCCTGGTTTCATTAGTGTGGACAGGGTACACAAGACACTAACAATGTCATATTGAACGAACAGTTTGTGGCTGGGTTCTGAAGGGGACAGTTCGGTAGTTAGAATTTTATACTTGCCTTATCTGTATACCTTATGAACCTTCGTGTTAGAATTAAGCTGGAGTGGACAGCTTTAGCAAATAAAGTTAAAGGATCCCCAGGTAATTTTGAATTTCATATAAACAAAAAACAATATTAAATGCAGTATTTGGGACATACTTGCATGTGCTAAGGGGGCCACTTGAGTTCCAGGAATATTATCCACATTCTAATCAGCAGGAAAAGGGCAAGGAGACAAAGAGCCTATCCGTTCCTGTTAAGTGTGTTTTCCCAGAGTAGTAAGTTACACTTGCCTTGCTGGTTAAAATTTAGTCAGATAGTCACATCTAACTACAAAGGAAGCTGAGAAAGCAGTTTATATTGGGCAGCCTCATGCTCAGATAAAAATTGAAAGCTATTCCTGAGAAGGAAGAAGGAAGTAGATGTGGAGTCAACTGGTCATCTCTGTGAGAGAAGTGATGGGGATCAAGGCATGATGTAAAAGAAATTGAACTGGATTGAATATGATGCTGCTGTAATTGGGTTACAAAGGCAAAAGAGGAATTTTATTTCAACCAGATCAGTTTATAAAATGGAGGCTCCTTTTAACAGAAATGGAAAACATAGAAGAGAAAAATATTAAGTGTATACCATACTTCTAAGTAAGGTACTATACAGCTGCCATAGGAATGTGACACAGCTGCTAACCAAATCTAGTAGGTGGCAGTGTAGTCTTCCTCCTTTCACTTCCAGGGGACAGTGTGATCAACTGCAAGTGTTTGTTGTTATTGTTTAGTAAAAATTAAAATGTTTAGTACTTAGTAAACGTTCAAAAAATTGATCAGTGCTTGATATTTTTACATACATTTTAAAAATAGAAGAGGATCAAGTGGAAAATAAAAGTATGAAAGTTCAGGCTTCTTGTGAAAATTAGCAAGAGGGGATTGCTGCCATGGTTACAGAAATGCACAGCATGGATACCATCCTGCAAATGGGCTCTGCTGGCCAAACAGTGATGGAAACCAATTTGCTTTCTTTTGGAGGAGACAGTGTAGCTGTTGGCTCATTGTACCCTTTTGGATTTCCTGGAAAACTGAATCTACAACAGGAGGAAGGAGAGGCAGTAGAAAGACCCTGGAATGAAAGTCAGGGATGAAGATACTCATAAACATCAGGGTTCCAATGCTGGCCCAACTATTCACAGCTTTAAGGCCAAGCAGGACAACACAACAGTTATTCAGTTATGGAGTACTGACTAAGAGCCGGGTACATGCAAAGTCCTTCCAAATATGTTATGTCAGGATAGGGGATCAAGAAGTTGGGGATAAAGAGTGGGTGTAGACATGGTTGTCCAAGAGGTGGTTTCCACCTGCTATAACACGAACAACAGACAGAAATAACTCAGATATAGTGGGAAAATGTGATGGGGTGAGAAGTAGAGACTGTTAAAAATATAGAGGAGAAAGAGATTAATTACAAAAGAAAAGTTGGGGGTGAGGTGGGGGTGCAATGATGGAGCAAAAAAGAAAAAGAACTCATGGACACAGACAAAAATGTGGTGATTGTGGGGGTGGAGGTGGAAGAGGGTATAAGGGGGATAAATGGTAATGGAAAAAATACAATAAAAACAACAAAAAAGAGTTAGGGATAATTTCTTGAAGGAAGTGGGATTTCAGCTGGGCCTTAGAGGGAAGTAGAATTTTACTATTTAGGGGAGAGAGGAAAAATTTTCATGCAGAATGAGTATCACACACAACGGTGTGAAAGGGGTGATTGTGAGGGACATGTTGGCACAAGCTTTAATGAACGTGGAGCTGTCCTAGCCATGGAAGTTTTACCATAAATAGAAATTATGGATCGCTTCTCATTACAAGTGGGAGATTTATGACTTTATAACAAAGGCAATTATTAAGAATTTTGAACACCATGAAAACAGAATACGTCGATGTTGTAGAGCGGTGGCAAGGAGGGCAGGATGGGCTGGAAAGGTCAAAGGTCAGAGGTATGGAGGCCCGTTTTGAAGTGATAATAATTCAGAGAAAACCCTTGAAATAAAATATTGCGGGAAAAAAAACCACAGTTACCGTGTAATAGCCTTGGTTACAATGGTTATTATTATTTTTTATTTATGAACAGGGATAAGTTACTAAACCTGAGTCTCGTATGTTCTCTAAAACGCTTCTAAAAATTATGTCACAAATTTGGTGTGGAGAGTAAACAAAGGTGAAGATGCCAGTGCATGGTGACTACTCAGGAAAAGGTATTTTAAAATTTTCTCCCTTCTTTCTAAGTACAACCTGTGGGGCTTGTACCACTTTTATGTCGGCCCTTAGCGTTGTTCTCCAGGAGCTGCTTGCTTCAGTCCTCTCCCTTGCTGGGCTGCGTGCCACGCTGGGGCTTTGGAAGGGTCCGCAGGACGTCTGTATTCCGGGCCTCGGTATTCCGGGCCCTGGGACTGGCCCTACACACAATAGGCTCTCAACAAAAGCAAATAGGATGTGCAGGGTGACGACGGGGCGCGAGCCAACGCACTCCGCAGGTATCTGCGGATCCGCCTGCCAGGCTCTCCGGCCCTGCCCTAAGAGGTCCCCGGTGCCAGAGCGCGGCGAGCACAGTCCCACTGTCCTAACGCGCAAGCAAGGTCCCTCCTGAGAGGCGCGGGGTAAGGGCTGGGGAACCCAAGCCACACTCACTGCCAACTCAGAACAGAAAGCCCCCTCCTTTAGGCCTTCGGAGGCTCGCTCTCGGGAAATCCCAACCCTTTCCCCTTCTACGGCCCTTCTTCCCGCCCCGTTTTTAAGGAGCAACCCAAGGAGCGACCGGGAGGGAGGCGGTCGCCGAGTGGGGCGGTGCGCGTGGGTGGGGGTTGTGCCGGGGGAGGCGAGTCCGGGAACTTTGAGGCCCAGCCTCCAGGGGTCCCGCAGTGACATTCCTGAGAGCGCCGAGGGCAGGCCAGCCTCTAGGGCCGGACTGAGAGCGCAGACGAGAAACCGCGCCACTCTGCGGAGTCGCCGGCCGCACCACTCGGAGAGAGACCTGAGCAGCTCATCGCGGTCGCGCGCGAACCGGACGGCGGAAGACGGGTCTGTGAGCATGGGCCGCATCTTGCTGGAGCCGTTGCTGCCGCAGCTACTCAGCCCCTCGGGCCTGGTCCTTGCTGCGACCCTGCTGCTCCTCGTTCTGTGCCTACGCTCCCGGCGCACCAGGTAAGCGGCCGGGAGACCTCCCCGCGCGGCCGCGCGGCCTCGCGGCCCGGACCACGCATGCGCTCTGGGCTCCGTGGACTGCGCGCCATCCAGTTGACCTGGAGTCCCTTTCACGATTTCGGGAGCAGATAGTCAAAACTTGCCGGGGCCCCGTGGACTGCGCGCCATTCAGATGACCTAGAGTCCCCTCCATGATTTCGGAAGCAGATAGTAAAAAAACGGCGCCTTTTGAGGTCCTGTGTAACGATAAAGGATTTTGTGCTTCTCTCCCAACATACGCGTGCATATTAAAGCGTTGGGACCGAATTTGGTTTCCGGTACCAGTACAGGTTGTAATAAGCCTTAGGTTTGTGTTATACATTATGCATGATGGATGGCTTCCAAACGCATTTTGGTGCCTTGTTACAGCGAATTGATATTTCAGAGCCTAGAATTCATCGAGCATTTCTGGAGGGGAATTTCTTACATTGATTTCATTCAGTTAAAAGTGAATGTTTCGGGGAATTGTATGGTATGAACAATAGCTCTGGGGGCCTCTCTGCCTCAGTTTATCTCACTGTACCTCATCTGGGAAGACGAAATAACAGGACCTCCACCTTTCGTACCTCCCTCCATCCCCCTTTCCCTCCGGTCTTATGAGGGTTGGTTGGTTTGTGTTTGCTTAATCCCTTCACCTTTTTCACCCAGAACTCTGACAGCTGTCAGTATATTCTATTAGTCTGTTTCTATTTTGTTTGTCAGTTTATTTTGTTCATTAGATTCCACATATAAGTGAAATCATATGGTATTTGTCTTTCTCTGACTGGCTTATTTCACTTAGCATGATACTCTCCAGGTCTATCCGTGCTGTCGGAAAAAGGTAAGATTTCCTTCTTTTTTACAGCCAAGTAGTATTCCACTGTATAAATGGACCACAGCTTTCTAAAAAAGTTGTTGTTTCTATTACAGATGTCCCCATTTTCCCTGCCATTGCCAGCCCCTACCCTCCTCCCACCCCCCTTCTCTCAGGCAGTCACCACTCCGTTGTCCGTGTCTATGAGTTATGCACATATGTTCTACTGATGGGTGCTTGGGCTTTCAGTTTGATGTAGTCCCACTTCTTTTTTCCTTTTGTTTCCCTTGCTTGGCGAGATATAGCAGGAAAAATATTGCTGTGAGAAATGTCTGAGATTTTTCTGCTTATGTTTTCTTCCAGGATTTTTATGGTTTTGAGTCTAACATTTAAGTCTTTAATCCATTTTGAGTTTGTTCTTGTGTATGGTGTAAAAAGGTGATCTAGCTTAATTTTCTTTTTTTGCACATATCAGTCCAATTTTTCCAACACCATTTATTGAATAGAAAATCTTTACCTCATTATATGTTTTTGCCTCCTTTGTCAAACATTAATTGACCAAAAAGGCATGGGTTATTTCTGGGTTCTCTATTATGTTCCATTAATCTAGATGTAAAAGACCTGTACTTGGAAAATTATGATACTGAAGACAGAAACTGAAGAAGAGCCCTGGCCGGGTAGCTCAATTGGTTAGAGTGTCATCCTGATACGCCAAGTTTGCAGGTTTGATTCCCTAGTCAGGACACATACAAGAATCAACCAATGAACACATAAATAAGTGGAGCAATAAACCAATCTCTCTCTCTCTCTCTCAAGTAAATAAATAAATAAAAATTTTAAAAAAGAAATTGAAGAATAAGTGGAAGCATATACCATATTCAGAAAAAATTTACATCATTAAAATACCCATGCTTCCCAAAGCAATCTACAGATTTTTTGCAATTCCTATTAAGATACCAATGGTATATTTCACAGAACTAGAACAAATATTCCAAAAATTTATATGGAACCACAAAAGGACCCTGAATAGCCACAATTAACTTGAGAAAGAAGAACAAAGTTGGAAGAATCACATTACCTGATATCAAACTGTACTACAAGGCCATATTAATCAAAACAGCATGGTACTGGCATAAAAACAAAGATGTAGATCAATGGAAGAAAATATATTTTAGATACCTTTCTATGTCAGTTTACTGAAATCATTATTTGTAATGATTTTATAGAGATAGACCACACACACACACACACACTCACACACACACACACACACACACACACAGATATCTTTGGGTTTAGGGGGAAGTATTTGCGTAGAATTTTGGAGTTGTCAAAATATATGTGTGCCTTACACTTTAATAGATGTTGCCAAAGTACTGTGTTACTACTAATGATTTATGTAAGTCCCAGTTTCTCCATATCCTGTCAATACTGGTATAAATCATTTTAATTTCACCAATTTGATACTAATAAAAATAAAACTTTATTTTTTCTTAATTTTTATTTATTTTTGATGGACTTTGGAATCCTTAAAGGACATAATTTTCTCTTTGTTTTTGTATGATTAATAATAAATGATGATTAACCACTTCCAATTATTAATAGCTCTTATATGATAAGCATTGTTATACTTTCATACCTGCTATAATTATTTTTACTATTGTTATTAGTATTTAAGAGTTTCTGGGTATACCTCTTGTTTAAAAAGCCCTTCTACTCTCCAACATGGTAAAAAACATTCACCACTATTTTCCATCTAGTTTATTTTTAAAAGACTTTACACATACATATTAAATTTTTATTTCCATTCAATATCTATCCTTTGAAAAATTATGTCTGAAACGTTTGTAATATAGCATAATATAGGAATGTTGGATGTTCCAAAGCAAACATTTAAATGTCACCTAAAAAATTGGTAAACATTTTTAAAAATAGGTAGAAACCAGCTTAGAGGTCATTTGTTGTCCTTGGCCACCCACCAGCCTATTCCTCCTCTTTTGAATACAGCACTTTGATTTTCTTCTGTGAAATTGGTTTTCCTTTTTGGATATGATCTGGTGAGAGTGTCAACCATGGAAGCCATTGCAGTGTCCTTCAGGAGAGAATATAGTGGCTTGGCCTAGAGTTGTAACTCTGGGGTTGATAGGAAGTATTTAGAATTAGGATATATTTTTGGTGGTAGAGTCAGTAGGACATGCTAATGGAACTAATGTGGCATATAAAGGAGAGAAAAGTCAACAATGAAGCTTAGAAGGTGTTTTTTTCCCATGCTGTATGCTTCTTGTCTGATCATCTGTGTATAGTGTGATGCCATTTCCTGAGATAGGATTTCAGGGATTTGAGGAGATCAAGAATTTGATAGGGAGAGAGGTATGTATTTCTGGTGCTCAGGGGAGAAGTCAAAGCAGGATATAGAATTGTGAAAGTCACAAACATGAAAATGGCTTGTAAAGTCATGAGTGTTGAGTTGATCACCTGGTCAGAGAGTTTGATGGAGAGTCAGAGGGCCAGAGTCACTCTCCCTACTGAAGAACATAGCAGAGAAAGAGGAACCAGCAGACTGAGAAGGGGAAATGATGGGGAAATGATGATTTCCTCGTCCAATGATTGGGAAAAAAAACCCAAGTAAAGATGGTGTCCTGGAAGCTAGATAGGGACAAATTTCAACAAGTAGGGGAAGTTATTTGTATCAAGTGATACTGAGAAGTCTAGTTTGATGAGGACAAAGAAATGAACATTAGAGTTGACAAGATGCAAAATTGGTAAGAGCTATGCAAAGAATTGGTGGAAATGAAAGTCTGTTTGAAGTAGATTGAAATGCTGTCCTACATAGCTTCTAAGATCTTATATTCAGGCTAGAGTGCAATTTAGTATTATGTTTTATATCTCTTGAGCCAATAATTCCAGTAATTTTATTTAAAAGAATTTCTCATGATGAAATAATCATGAAGTTCCTTAAAGGTTTAACCTTGAAACTGTTCATTAGGGCTGCTTATTATAGTGAAACATTAGGAAAAAACCAGATTACTGGAAAAATAATGGTTTATTTAAAAAATTCTAGCATGCCCAAATAACAGAAAATCATGTAGCCATAATATGTATAATGTAGAATATATGAAGACATGGAAAATCATATTCAAGCTATATAAAGTAATAAAAATTACAAAACAATATGTTCATATACATGGTGTTAATGATCTCCAGCCAGAGACCAATGGAAACACACCTGTAGTTGAACAAGTTGAGTTATTGCTTATTGTAGTGAAAACACACGCCATTCATCTAAATAGGAGACCATTAAGAAGGACCTATTTGGGGCATACATTATAGGATTTTGGAAAGGGTTTAAGGAAACAAGGTTTTGTTCTGTTGATAAAATACTGTCAGAAAGTGGAGACTGTTCTGATTGAACATAATTTTTTATTCTATTTTATTTTTTATTTTTAAATTCTATTTTTCAATTACAGTTTACATTCAATATTATTTTGTATTTGTTTCATGCATATAACACAGTGGTTAAATAACCATATACTTTACAATGTGTTTCCCCCCACATTTCTAGTACCCACCTACACCATAATAGTCATTACAATATTGACCATTGTCCATGTTCATGAGTCCTTTTTCCTCTTTTGCTCATTCCTTCTGCTCCCTAAACCCTACACCCCACAGAGCTGTCAGCCTGCTATCTGTGAGTCTGTCTCTGCTTTGCTTGTTAGTTCAGATTGTTCACAAGATTCCAAATATGAGTAAATCATATTGTATTTAAAAAAATCATATGGTATTTGTATTTCTCTGACTAGCTTAGTTCACTTAGCATAATGTTCTACAGGTCCATCCATTCTGTCACAAAGGGTACATTTTTTCTTTTTTGTGGCCAAGTAGTATTCCATTGTACAGATGTCCCATAGTTGTTTTATCCACTCATCTACTGATGAGTGCTTCCATATCTTGGCAATTGTAAATAATGCTGCAATGAACATAGGGGTGCCTAAGCTGCGCGGTTAAGGAATACAGCAGGAGACACTGATTAAGCCTAAGAGAAAGCCTGCAGGTGAAAGCAGATGTCTGGGAGCTCTGAGACTTCAGCTAACCTTCCCCCAGGCCCAGTGCTGGATAAAAGCCTGCCTTGGTGCACAGCTCGGTTCTTTCTGCACACACTCAGGTC